TATATAGCATACGAGGTGAACAAAAGCAACTACTGACTCATCTCAACCAAAAAAAAAAAAGAATAGCTAAAAATTATTTTGAAGGTTTACAAAAATTTATTCTACTTATTAGAAATAATAATAACAAAACTAAAGCAAAACAAATATATTTTCTAAAATTAAGATATAATACAAAATAAAACTTATCGCAAACAAACCCTTGCGTTTCTATTAACGTCTGCAGAAAATCATCTCATACGCAAATGCTAATTTTACTATATTTTAAATGTAATTTATAAAAGCCGGAGTGGCAGGGTAACAAGGTCCCAAAAAAAAATAAAAATAAATAATAAAATAAAAAATATAGATTGCAGCTCAGAGAAGCCTCAAAGAAGAATTTTCAGATATCGAAATTCTTGGAGAGGGAGGTTTGAGGCAAACCGAGAGCTGAAAGAATTTTGGGGCATTTCAATACATACCATACAAATCTTATGTATTTACACATCTAGCGCCAAAACATTCACATTTAACATCACATCAAAAATATCATTATCACTACCCTTCACAAAAATATAATGCGCATTTAAGTTTATGAAAAACATTGTTGTAAAGGAAAGTTGTCAGTTATACAAGTACATAAAGGTAATGTGGTATGCATGTAAATTTCCCAAGAATTTGTTAGTGTGTTTTACAAAAAGAAATATTGAGTGAAGTAATGCAACTTGCATAACCTGCTTGAACAAAAATTATGATCGGATGAAACAAATGAACAAATTATATGCAACGGTTGATAAATAAGGCAGGCCAAATACTCCACCATCGATATTACATTCATTCAAATTTAACCTCATGTAAATATAAGATTTGCAGAAGAAACTGGTAGGAGAGAAGTTGGTTCACCCATCAGGAAAACTATTGCTGTTCTAGCTGTGGGTGACCATTCATATCTTCGGCAGGTTTGAATTGAGCTGAATTCCTATCGATCTTCCTCTCGCGGGATTCCTCAGGACTGCTTGGTTTATCCTGTAATTTTAATTAGTAACTAAATGGCATAAAAAAAATGTCATTTTTAAGCAGTAGCAGCAGGAGGCAAAAAGAGAAGTCACTTTCATGCATGATGCAAATCATAGAGATTCATCATTAGAAAATAGGGGCATTTACATACATAACACACAATTCAATTCTTATGTATTTACATATCTTTACATATCAAACACCTAAACATTCACACTTACATGCATAACACTCAAATCTTTAACATTACATAAAAAATACACCATTAGTAACTTTTTAAAAGTGAAATTTTCATGCATAAGTTTATGAAAACTTGTGTTATAAATGTAAATATCAAACTTCGGGTGTTAGATATGTGAACACATTAGAATTATTTGGTATGTATGTCAATATTCCTAGAAAATAATCATATAGATTTGAGCAGCATTTCTGCTAAATGAAAGAAACAAATTCCATGACAAAATGGCCATCGTTGGAGAGTGGAGAGCTAGACATCACTTTTTTTCCACCCAACCAATGTCATGATCTGAATTTCATCTTTTGATGAAACATGACAGAGTACGTAATTATGAGAAAACAAATGAAAGTCCATTGGCCTTAATTTATTAAATATTGGTTGCTAATTTTTGGATTGAGGGACATCTATATCACAAATACGATGAGGTTTGTAGACGAGTAACTTATTCGTTGAAATTACGTAGAGAAATAATCCAAGGGAAAAATATTGTCACAAAGGTTTGAGATGTGTAAGCCCCTATACATCATCAATTAAACCAACTCCAAAAATGAGGAAATAACTTCTGCACATAAATAAACGAGTTCCAAGAGGGGATTAAATCAAATTAAATCAATTAGTACAGAATGTGGCAATTATTACCAATGAATGTTAAAAGATTTGGGAAGCAAAATTTGCAATTTCATTAGCTCGGTTGCTGTGAGAGAAAGGAAACGACATAAAATGTAGGCAAGTGAGTGCATGTAGTAAAGATGGATTCTCATTTCATTTATTTTGCAAATATGCAAAGGTTATGTGACATGGGGTGGGACGCAAAAGAAATCCCACGACGAAAGCAATGCGGAAAGTCACGCGACAGGATTAACTCCAGTTTTTCATACCTGGACCGAACCAGTCCAGGTTTTTTCGAAGCTGAGGAATCAGCCAGTCCTCTTGGGCCACTCCTAATTATCATACATTTGTTTTTCGTGTTTTAGGTTGACAACTTTTTGGCATATGTTTTATGTCAGGACAGCTGTCGACATCCTCTTTCTTTCTTCTAGGGTTATATCCAAAGGCAGGAGATGATCTGGCTATAGCTCGTTCGAGGTGGTGATCTCCTTCCAAGAAATCGAGTGGTTCTCTAGCTGTAATAGCTTGTTCTTGCAAGGTATTCATCTCCGACCTTTCCATCCTTTGCATTTCTCACCTTATTGATGATGTCGCCTTTTGCAGGTGCTGGAACAACCAGACAACAATCTGACTGTCGTCCCGCAACTCCAGCCACCAACCACCACCTCCTCCACCTACCACTGTCCCTTCCAATCACCTCCCACTTTGTTGTCATTCCTTCCAGCTGCCCGTCTTCACTGTCCAACCATCCCGCTCACTGTCGCAATCATAGGACATCCCTCCCTTTACAGTCCTGCAATCCCACACATTCCCCACCACTGTCGCCACCATTCTCAGTTTTTTCCTTCCCCTCGGACAATCATTTTGAGTTGTTTTCCTATTATTTCAGTCGCTAGAATTTCATGGCCCGACCCGAGACTTGCAATTAACCAAAACAGAAATAGACGATTAGACGATAAAATTAAGTTTTCAATTAATTTATTTATATCACTAACAATTTAATATCTAAATATTAATTGAAAGTGCCACTAAAGAAAGTATTTGAATGAACAAATAAAAGTTTCCTATTCCAGTTGCTAGTCTTACCTCATGTACAAATTAGTTCATCTGTTATTCATTTTATTCAAAAACTAAGAACCTGAAAAAATTATTATTTAAACAACATGAGTTATTTAAAATAATTTTGTGGAACAATCACACTTTTTAACTACAGTAACCCAGAGGGATATTATTAATATGAATGTTGTTCTTTCATAATTCATTATAGAAATCTTACAATGTTCTAATAAATGTGTTCATGACATTTAATAAATGGAAATAACTTAAAATTTGATATGAATTAGCTTTAAATTTACTTTTACTTCAAACTCTTAAAATTCACGTCTCAAGAGCACTGTCAAAATATAATCTAACAGACCTGTGAATCATATTATCCCGTCGACACAGTGGTTTGTGATCTAACTGACACGATTGTCTGAGGTGGGAAGATACCTACGCACCCTTGACAAATATTCTTCACAACAATTAGTAATTTGAACATCACAATTATCGAGGGTGATAGTATAGCATCTACTCATAATCATACATTAGTCTCTGCCTGTGGGAAAGAGGGTGAACCCTTTTCAGTATGCACATACAAGCATTCATATACACAATATTTACATTTATTCATGATACACATTATTATCTTATGAGATAACTTATGTTTATCTACTTATAAATAAACTCAAATTTACTAAAATCTAAAGGTCAAGTAATGAAAAACATTATACATCTGGTCATGCAATAAGCTAACATACACATAATTATTAGAACGAAAGGGTCATGGATTAATCTAATATTTTTCTAAAATAAACTATTATGCAACTACTAAAACAATATTATTTAGCATGTATACTCCATGACTATTGATATGAAGAATCAAATGTGATTTAATTTCATTGACTGCAAGAAAGAATATATTTAAAAACAAGAAATATTGTCGTAACTTAAGAGAATAGTTACCACCATCTTTTGTTGATAATTCTTGTCAGCTTAAACCTTTAATGCACAATGTCGATCTCGATCTCGACCTCGACCTCAACCAGTACTTTAATTTGATTGGTCGACCAATTTTAATCAATAAGATTAATTATCATAATTTAATATAAGTTAATAACATTTAATTAATTAAACATTACCATTTACATAAATAAAAAATACAACCCTACTTTCACTGTTTAACTGTTATTCCTCCTTTCCCGATAACAATTCCGTCTAACATCTCTTTTTCTTTCTAATTTTTAATAACCCTAAAAAAAATACTAACACTTAAGATCTGTTTAGAGCAGCTACAACTAAATAATAAGCTGTTGCAGATAAGCTGACCGTCTGTTTATTTTTGCAATTTGAAAACTATTGTGTTGTAGTTGTTTTTTTGACAAATAATCATTTTGTCCTTGTATATTAATATTCTTTGCAACAGAATTGTTCATACCAATACATTTTACAGTTTAAAAATAAAAATCCAGTGCAGAATATTACAAAATAAAAATAGACACTTCACTTAAAAATGAGTAGCATGATCACTTAAATTAAAAAAAAGACAATTAAAATAATAATTAATAATATGATAATATTATTTTTAAAATACAGATGATGTATGTCATGAGTTAAGCCGTCCTCCAGAGATACTCCATGCCCAATCACCCTCGACGGTAGATTCTTCCAGCCTATTTGCCCACTGAAAATAGTCACAGTTTTCTGTGATTATTTGCGGGCATCCATAAAAATGTCTCTCATAGCTATGTGGTTGGCGTGAAGCTAGCAGAGAATTTTGACTAATATAGGTTTTATGTAATTGTGAGGCCATTAGACATCTGTAATTAGAGGTACCAGAAATCTTTGAGCTCATCTTTCTTGAATGCTTAATAAAACATCTCATTAGACACAACACAAGTAAAGTTTGATAACAAAAAAAAACTAATTATGGTTTTATCTAATTGTGAGGTCTCAAAGAACACAGTATATAAAACAACAAATCTGTCACTACAAGAAGACAACAAACCTTATAAAAAAGGGTTCTCGGTTGTCTTTAACCATTGTAATATCAAACTCGTGTGGGTCACAAAAGCATATCACCAAAAAAATGTCATCGAGAAGAACCTAAAATATTGTATCACAAAAAAAAAGTTTTGTTGCCTTCATTAAGATTTCACATGTGACATTAACCAATAGCGATAAACAGATAATCTAGAAGAACCTATAAGATCAAACATATCATCATAGGCCTCCAAAACTCACAAAAAAAACAAAAAAAAAATGAAAAAGAAGATAAATACAAATTGGTTAAAAAATCAAGACAATCAATATCAAATACACAAGGAACGTAAATAAATCTGAATTATCTAAAACACTGATATAATAAATAGTGAATCTCTTTAACAACCATCAAAATTAAGAGTATGATAAAAACTTCAATCACCCTCCAATTATCGCATCCGTAAGTCATTCTCAACTTCCCCGGCTTTAGTACATGTCTCGGGAATATCATTTTCGGTCTGTGATAGATTGTCCAAGACGGTACTCAAATGCCTCGGCAGAGAAATGTTCATGATCCTCGTCCGCCCTACGGAAGTCGATGTTGTTGCAGAAAGGATGTTATCGAATATAATTGTGGAGAGTCATTGTGGCAATCACAATCTGCACTTGTTTGGGAAACGGGTGAGATGAAATATTGCGAAGTATAACTCATTTGTTCTTCCAAACACCAAAAATCATCTCAATAACTCTGATTAAGAATGAATATTTTTTGTTGAACATTTCTTTCCTGCGAATGCGACATTGCTGACTCGCTCAAAATCAAGTATGTCGTATCTAGTAAGAGGATTAGGCTTGAGATATCCTCATTGCAATGAATACCTAGCATCGATCAAATAGTACTGACCTGATGTGAATTGAGCAATTAATGTTGACAGTAAAAAAGTATGAGAGTAGCTCAGTCTCAAGCGAACCTTTGGGTGGATGTGAGAAGTTATACTTGTTATTCTATGTTGCAGATTTGAAAATTCGGCCGTCATTTGCACTGCCCTCCCAACTGGCAATTGTCGGCCGTTATTTTGGAAGGATGATTTTTGTAAAATCTAAAAATAGTTTTGATGTAAATATGATTTTTGAAAGTAAC